ATGTGCTGAGTACCAATCTGGCGGAACCTGCCAGGAGCTGCTACCATTTATGTCCATAGCATCATGCAGTGGTGGTTCATCTTTCCGTGCTGACCATATAGGTGCAAACGCCAGACAGGCCGAGACCTCTTCCGCTCAGTCTAACGGCATGGCCGGATTGCAGAAACTGTCAAAGGATACACGACTTGCCTAAGGGACGTGAATTCTGGCATCGGCCTGAGCTCTGGCATCGTGGAGATCACGTACCTGGGCGTAGGATCAATCCGAAACGATGATTCCCTCTTCTTTTACAGTAAACCGCACACATGCCACATGGGGCGGGACTGCTCTTCGATTGGCTCCAGCATGTACCCGTCCATGTCGAGAAACGAATCTTCGGCCACGGTCACGTTGTAAACCTCCCAGGATCATGCGACAGAGGATACATCAACGCTCTTCTCAGGGTCTTCTGTTGGTGGCTCACATTCATGTTATGTCCATGCTGCGGACAGCCCGGCCTCGCCGGCGAGCAGGCCCTGGGGTGCCAGCAATGCATATCCACCTCTCCCAGGGCGGCTTTTGGGATCTAGAGCGGCATCTCGCAGAATCCAGCATTCTGCTCCCGCATGCCCCGCCTGCTGTAACAGCGGTTGAACCAGGCACATCGACGATGGGGGACATGAATGACCTCCCAGAACATGGGACATGGAACTGAGAGGCTGCGACACCGAAGTAAGCCCAGAGCCTAGGCACGAAGGTCACATTCCCAGGTCCAGCTCTAACCTTGGCAAGTCGGTCTCGGCACCAGCAACCCAAACCTTGCCATTTCAAGCAAACCTAAACCCTCTGGTTCCCTTGATTTCGGTCCACGCTTTATTGCCCCTGAGATTTAGGGAGGCCTGGAAGGGGGATCAGAATTCAGATTCAGAGCCGTGGCCAGGTCTAAACCCCAAAGCAAAACTCCGAGGGCGCTGCTGGCTCGCTGAATGCAAGGAGGATGCTCCCCAGTGCTGGAAACTCATGGAGCGGCGCGTCCAACTCCTTGGAACCAGAGTAGTGGTGGAGTTGTGGAGTTGTGGGTTCAGAGGATGATTGGAGGGTTGTGTGGGAAGCGCAACCTCACAAAATGGGCAACAGCTGCCCCCCAGTCCTCTTCGTTGCTAGGGCGAGAGAACGTCAAGTTCAGCCTCGGCCTTGGCTGTCATGTGAGCCAAAGCGACAGAAGGCGACTGAAACTGACTTCAACAGAGTTGGCTGCAGTGTAAGCTGCTGTGTACTGTACTACAAGTGTCCGCAAGAAGGTCTCGAAGATCTGGTGAGGGCCAGGGCGGAGTCTTCAAAGAAACATTTTCGCTCTCAGCTTCAGCAAGTAGAGGGGGAGCGGGGGAGGGGGGGGAGGCGATGCTGCTGAGATGTTCCGAGACCCTGGCCGATCCAAGGCCTCTGCACTAGCAGAGAAGGTGATCGTCAGCTCCACCTTCTTTGCTTTCAGAATGCCAGGCTCGCTGAAAACAGCTCTCCAAGCGCTAGTGCTCTTGGCGCTTCATGACGCATGGCATATGCTTTTCTCAGCAAGCAAACTGCTTCATGTATCGTCTATGACTGGCAGCCAGTCCATTCCTACTTGCTTTGATTTGCCTTGGCAAGTGCCAGTCTTCGTCACAAAAAGACCGCGACCCCAAACCGAACCAACCCCAGTCACCCCAAGTGTGTCCTCCAAGGAGGGGTTGCCACCGCCCTGCAGGGAGCGCGGCTTGTCTCAAGAAATGTTTGCCTGCAAGTGCCTGTGCGCACCAGCCCACGTTGCTGTGTGTGTGAGCAGAGCCGGATCTCGTACTCAGGCCTCCAAGATGTTGCCTGTCCGTCGCGTGACGTCCTCACACAACGCTCATGGCTGGCCGTCATCGCTCCGAGCTCATAAATCGGGACAACATGTTGCCTGCGCATCGCAATCTACTGCGACAGAATATCGGAGGCAGTATATTGGACCCGGACATGTTCGGCTAACCGCTGTCCTGGAAGAGAAAGCGCGGCACTCTCAAGGTGAATGTACCGCCGTTGGCCATGACCTTTGTATTTCTTCCAGAGGTCGTGGGGACTCTAACATTTGGTTTAGGGACTAGGCTTGGAATTGGAATTCAGGGATTTGTGGTCTCTCAAACGGCTTCTTCAGGGGCAGATGGGCAGGAAACAGGGGTTGAGCGCATTGAAACATCTGCGACTACAACTTCGCGCACATCTGCGTTCTCATGGCCCAAAGTCTCCTCCGAAGCATGCTTAGGTAAGGCAGTGCTCGGCTTTGCACCTGTACCCACGATGTGCGTTTGTCTGAACCTTGCTGCCTTACTTCTACATCAATGACAGCAAGCAAAACGGTCTCCACACAGCAATCCAAAGCTGCCTGTGTCAGCCTCAAGAACGCACTAAAACACACAAGCACTAGGGAGCTGATGCGTGGTGCTTGTACGTGCATGTCCCGTTTGACCCTGAACAACAATGGCACGGGACAGCTGGTGCTCTGGATGATCGCCCTGGCCTCTCCTAAAAAAAATGAGCCGCTGGTGCTCTTGATTGCCCCAATCCAAACACTCAAAGCGACCGCAGCACTATGACGTTTGCACAGGTAGGCTGCCGCTGCAGCGCAGCATTGAACTCTGCTACCTTCGGTATGATCAAACTCTCTGAGTTTCGCACGTGAGGTGGGAACATCATGGTCAAGCGGTTGCCCTGGATCTTCACCTGCAGAATCCATGACCACATCTGGCAACTGCACATTCACACGAGAGTCTCAGCATGACCTGCAAGCCTCGTACAGCCCATGGGTCATGGGTAGGTACTCAATTGTCATGCAGGGCGAACCTCTGCTAACCTCTCTTCCTTTGCCATCACTCTTCTCAAGAGATAAGCACTGCCACCATCCTGCGCAACCCCAACGCTGTTCATTTAGGACCCCTCCGCAGGTGCGCGAAGGGATCTTGTGAACAGGCGTCGAAGCCCAGAACATCGTTTTGTCAATGGGGCTTCGTCGGCTCTACGATGAGATGCAGAAGTGCCGGAATGGGTCAGGTAAGAGTCTGGACAGATAACACCATGATGCTCTGTCAAAACCGCTCATGTCCATTACTGCAAAACTTTTGAAGTTCAGGCTTTGCACGCCTCGTTGCTCTCTCCCGGCAGATTTGCCCGGCCACCTGCTGCTTTTCTACACATCTGATTTGCTTCGGTAAGACTGTAGCTTGAGATACTCTTAGTGCCTCTGTCAGTCATCAGCACATGGCACCGTAATTGAGGGCTGCAGGCTTGGCTGTCGAATGTTGAAGTCTAAACACCATTACAACGCCTTAAGCTTCACAAAGCCCGTATACTTTGTGTAAGCCCTCACAGAGTCCCTTCGAAGACAGAGGCCATCCCAACTTACCCGCAGAAAACAAACAAAAGGCTCCATAAGGCCACTTCAGCAGGACGACCGCGCCTCCCGGCATCTGCAGGGAAACCGCGGGCTTTTGGTCGGCGGACTTCACGATATCCTGGCCACTAAGGACCCCCAAGAAGGGACACTCGAAAACTCTGAAGCGGATGCTAAGAAGTGCTAAGCGCCCCCAGGAATCATATGATTCATGTCCAGATTTTGGGCCCATTTTGGGCCGATCACGTCAAGCCCAGCCTCACTGTACCACACGTTGAAGATGTTTCGCGAGCCTGGCACCTGCGTGTTCAGTGCATGCAGAGGTTTTGTCTCAGTGTCATTGCCAGATGGCAGCCATTGATGCGTTTGCAAGGGGCCCTGCCTCACGGGTGACAGAATATTCATACGTAGCTTGACTGCAAGAGCCAAGCATAAGATGTAAACCACGCAAGGGTCTGTGCAGATCGTAGGGCTGGCTTGGTTTCCTTTGCTGCAACTCCATACAGTACGCCTACAAGGGGCTGACTCAAGACACACAAGTATATCATGTCTGTCATCTTTCATGCCGCTACCCCGGATCAAATTGAGCGCAGTACATGAATCGAGCAGATTCATGCTCACTGGCCTGTCCGGGCCCCCATCCATACTTGGCCACCATCAGAAGTTCGACATACACCCATGCAGCAACAAAAGAAGCAATCTAACACAGCCAAGCCCAAGTGAAGAACCCCCAACAGCCAAGTATCCGAAACCCTAAACCCGCAACATTGCACCAGTAAAGACAAAACAGTGTAAACCAGAACTTTAAGCTTTGAAAAGTGATTTCTTCAACAATGACAAGGCGAGACGCAAACCACACAGGGAGACACCGGCCATGGGAAATACGGCAGACCCATCCAACATGAATCGAGACAAAGGGAGACAAGGGGAGACACAAACCACCGGAATCCCGGGAGGCCTATTTCGACTTGTCCTAAACCCTTAGAAGGGATTACGAACCCCAAACTGTCTACAGTACTGACTGTTTGCTGATGCCTGTAAAGTCTTTAACCTTTAAGAACAACCTGGTCAACCCCCAGCCAGCCTCTGCCTCGCCCTGTGTGATATCGGCGGCCACGGCACGAGGCAGGGTCGTGCCCAGCAGCATGTCCCTCGACACCGGTGCTGATGAGAGAAGGCGGGAAGGTGAGCAGGGTCTGGGCGTCAGATGAGCGATTGCAGGGGTAAGTTTGGGACTTTGCTTCTTTGGAGAGGATGCCCAAATCATCGACCCGAACCAAGAATCCGCAAGCGTACCAGTACAGTATCGGAGCTTCACTCACTTGAGCACGCGGCAGGCACTTGAAGTCCACTCGGATGGTGTCGCTCACATTACCCAGGCCCATGTCCTGTCCGCAGGCTGCAGCAATGGCAAAGTGCTCTCTGTTGCCACTGTTCTCCGCATGCTAGCACCAGATGGAAGAGCTGACAGCAGTAACTAGACATGAAAGCTTGCAACCTTATTCTTGACCAGGGTTTCACTATGTCGTGCCTAAAGGCCCTCAGCATCAAAGAACGAAGGCAGCTGCGCCCACAAAAACTGCTTACCCGGCCAATCTCTTCCAACCCAAGCCCCCTAAACCATCCTCCTAAACTTCTAAACCCTCCATTGCTCCATAACCCTCCTGCAGTGCACCAGGCCCAAGGACTACGCTGTAGTTCCGCCCGCGCCGCAGCATCGGCGCTCCCCTGCACTGCATTCTCTACATCGTCGTCCCGGTCAGCAGTAAACACAACAGGGGCTGTTAAGACCAGGGACATCCACAAACCCCAAAAAGCAAGGGGAGTTGACCGTGGTCTACTTAGGCACCCGATTAGCAGGGCATCAAGTCTGAGGGATGAGTCCGCCCATGTCGCCGAAGCAATTGCTGCCAGTACGATGTGAACCGCCCTCCCCGCGAAACCAGAGCCAGAAGGCATGTGTTTTCGACACCATTTACAGCTTCTTCAACCTCGACCCATCCATGTCTTGGAATAGCTCCCAGAGAAGTTCATTCTCGAGCTTCAGTGGAACCAGGGGGCTGGCTCACTTCTTTGCAGCTTCGGGGTTTGCCAATCTAAGAGCCGCACCCTGGTGAGGGCAGCCTCACCTCGGCCGCCACTCGAGCTGCCATTAAGGCATCTTTCTGTGGAGAATAATCGAGCGTTCACCAGACCGACCATTTATACACGAGAGCTTTACGAATCGCAGCTCCTCTCTATCATTCCACTATGCCGACAAGCACATTTCTGCATTGCACACCGCAATCGAAGCTCTCTCAAGGAATCTCTACTAGGAGCGCTGTCCGTCCAAGCAGTCTTGAATCTTTCCTTGCTAGAACAGGATAAGCACAGCTTTCGAAGCACCCGCCTCTTGGCCTGGCCTGGACTCTGCGGTCGACAACAGGGGCCCTGACCCTCACCGCGCGCTGCTCGGAGAGCACATCGAGCAGGCCACCAGGACTGGGCAAGTTCCCAGCAGAGCACTCTCGAGGTGTGAACATTCGGGTGGTTTGCGTGGGGTGCAGGCTTCGTCATAATATGCTACAGGGAATGCGGAGGAGCTTCGGCGCTTTTGTACGGCAGTCAGCATGATCGCTGCATAAGTGCCTGCGACGTTGTAAAGCATAGCTGGCGTAAAGCACCCCGATGCACAGTCGCACAACTCCTGAATGGCCACAAAGCCCTTTGAAGCCGATACCCTGCACCCAGGCAAAAGAACTCGGTAGGACACTTCCCAGGCATGTACACGTTGGTTGGAATCGATGTCCTCAGCACACTCGGTGATTTCCATTAGGCTGACACGCTGGAGATAATCAACAAACTTCGAGTACTCAATGGACTCATTCAGTATACAGTATAGGGTACACAGCTACCTGCAACAAGTTTCCGAAGTACTCACCAGGATCCACAAAGGCAATGCGCGCAGATCGTATCTCAGAAAATCCGAGTCCATCTCCCATGCAGCTCAGCCAGGGCTCATCAAGTGGGTCTCATTGTAGATGTGCACTTGACCATGGGGAGTCCACCTCAAGACAACAAGCATCCCTCTCTGTACGGCCTGGCGAAGGCTAGAGTCGACTTCCAGCCTTCTCCCGGGGCCTTAAAAGCCCTCTCAAGAGTGCGAACCATCTGTGAAGCACACTTCGAGGCAGCAAGGGTTGCGGCTCCACAGGGGCAGCGAAGTACAGAAAGACGTGGATGCTGTTTCGAACAGGTACCTGTAACAATTGGCCAAAATGAACTGTCAAGCTAGCTGCCATGACCTGCGGGCGCACATCTGAGGCCCCTTGGAAGGGCCACGTGGCAAGGAGATCCGGGAAGCCCTGGTTTAGGGTTTAGGGTTTAGGGTTTAGGGTTTAGGGTTTAGGGTTTAGGGTTTAGGGTTTAGGGTTTAGGGTTTAGGGTTTAGGGTTTAGGGTTTAGGGTTTAGGGTTTAGGGTCCCTGGCCAGCACACGGGAGCTGGGCAGGTCTGGGCGAGGTCTGGTCAAGGGAAGAAAGTTTAGGGGTTCTCGGATTGAGGGTTTTCAAGGACGCTTGGGATTTCTAGCCTTCACACCTCCTTGGGGTTTTCGGGTTTAGGGTTTGAGGGCTCAGGGTTTCTTAGTATGTACAGAAAGAACTGCTCTAGGTAGGATTCAGGGGTGACGTGCATGCAACGTGCCCCAACGCCCTAAAGCCCTAAAGCCCTGAACCCCTCAACCAACGCGTTCGAGCCCATACGACAAAGCTCAGAAAGGCAAGAAAGGCAGTGTCCTCCAAAGCTTCGTCCCCTCCTGGAGGTGGACCTCGAGGCCTCGGCTCGGGAAGCTCGGACATTCTCAGCATTCCGGGCTTCTCGAGATTGCCCCCAAGGTCCGCGCATGCCAGCACCGATGTAGTCGCTCGTAGTGACGACCCTGAGTGGTACCAAGGTCCAGACATCAGCTTTCTCATGAAGATGCACGTAGACACGGCTCAGAATCCGTGCTTGAGCCCACCTGTCCCTGGCTTGGGCGATGGCCCGCTAAGTGTCCTGAAGGATCCAGCTGTCGTAGCCGGAACCTGCGCGAGCATGGAACCTTTGATGAGTCAGTAAGCTAGCCTAGGCTCGCATGGGGAAAGAACGGGGTATGCCCTGACCAAGCACGAGGCCTCGTTCCCCAAGCGATCCCGAAGAAGCCCCGATGGCAAAGAGACCACATATTCCTCACCGGCAATAGGAGAATCGCAGAGCTTCTCTCGCAGAGCTGTGATGCTGGGGCTCCGAGCCATGTCAGGCGTGTACCGCTTTCCGGGTGGAAGCCTGAAGACAGCCTGTGGATGGGGTCTCGAAGGCAGCACCGCCTCTAGACTGTGCCCAAAGTGTGCTGAAGAGAAGTAGTTACCCGTGAGTCGACACATTTTCTTGTGGGGGCGTGCTGGGGTATGCCTGCCTGGCAAGTGGCCACGATGAAAACATCTAAACCCTGGAGTCTCTTCCCACAGAGGTGCCTTCTCGCGTACCAGGACAGCCTCAGACACTGGAAGCTCTAGCAAGGCGCCGTAGGCGATCTTGGGGATCACCTGCGCTGCTGCTGCAAGCAGGAGCGTCAGAAGCCCAAGACAAAGCGAGCGGACGGCAAGTTAGGGACAAGAGCAAATGGCCTGGAGACTGCCATTGCCCGCCTGCACGGCCTGTTTGGAGTCCAGAGACATTTCACGTTGTTCAACTGCACAACAGGTTGTACAGCCCTTCCACCATGGTGTTGCGACCTGACCTGATTCTGCTCAGGGCTTCGAATCCTTCGATTCTGCAGCCTAAAATTGCCGTAGACGCGTGCCCTCTCACTCTGATCAGTTGCCTCACTGAATGTCAGCGTCAGGACTGCCCAGGGCTCGACTCCTCGCATATACCCCAGAAGGTGCTGAGGATCTTTCGGACTTCTGCACCCTGTCTCTTGCAAAGCGGGGGCATTGGCACAGCATGGCTCAATGGATGCCTTAACTTGACAGCGTTGCGGCTTTGCCCGTCCTGTTGAGCCACTTGCGGGTAGCATCGACACAAGGTAGGGTGCCTGACCAATGCCACCATCTCCCCCCAAAAAAGAAGTAATGTATGTATGTATATATATATATATATTTATATTTATATTTATTTATATTTTTATTTTTATATGTATTTATGTCTATACTTATTTTTTTCTGTATTTATCTTTTTCTTTATGCTGCATATATATATATATATATATATATATATATGTAGTCACCCGTTTTGCATATACGTATATATATATATATATATGCTAATATTTATTTGTTTATTTATTTATATGAAGGGGGCATCCCGCAAGTTCCCTCGTGGCCTCCGGATCTTCTAGGATGTGAACCTGCAGATATTCACTGGAGCAAGGACACTGATTTCAAGCACCCCTCGTTGCAATCTTGATGCTGAGGCAACACATGCTGAGACAAAGATCGACTGTTCATGCTTGTCCGCGGCCTGGAGATTCGAGCCGGTAAGGTGGCCAAAACGATTTCCTGCCAGGTCCTGGATGGAGCCGAGTGAACGTAATGATTGTAGGAGCGCGTTGTGTTTGCTCGATCATCCACCTTCGTCACATGTACTCGACGGCAGCGGTGCTCGAGTACTTCTGGAAGCAGAAGCAGCGGTCGTAGCAGCAGTGGTAGTAGTAATTAAGCAGCAGCAACAGCAGCAGCGGCAGCAGCAGCAACAGCAGCAATGGCAGCAGCAGCGGCAGCAGCAGCGGCAGCAGCAGCGGCAGCAGCAGCGGCAGCAGCAGCGGCAGCAGCAGCGGCAGCAGCAGCGGCAGCAGGCAGCGGCAGCAGGCAGCGGCAGCAGGCAGCGGCAGCAGGCAGCGGCAGCAGCAGCGGCAGCAGCAGCGGCAGCAGCAGCGGCAGCAGCAGCAGGAGGAGGAGGAGGAGGCAACAAGGAGCAGGAGAAGGAGAAGGAGCAGCAGCAGCGGCAGCGGCAGCGGCAGCGGCAGCGGCAGCAGCAGCAGCAGCAGCAGCAGCAGCAGCAACAATAGTGGCAGTCTAGGTTGGCCGCCCTGAGAGCCCTCTGAAACATTGTCCTAGACATGATTTCTTAAACCCAGTCTGGGACAATATAAAACTCCCAAGGCCCTACACGGCCTGCCTAGCAGTAGTAGGAGGTGATTGTAGGAGTAGCACGAGCAAAAGAATATTTCATCGGAACGGCTTGTCCAAGATGATGGCGACGATGATGGCTAACGATATACTGTGCTCTTCACCCCACAATGCTCTGCCTCCACCACAAGCGCATCAACCTCGACTTGATAGGACCGTCCTGGATGCTGCAGGAGCCCGAGTTAGGTACACATCTATCCCTGCATTGACAAGTCAATGCAAATGATGCGGGTTGATGCGAGTCAAGCATCCTTGAGCAAGTGGCATGAGCGGCCGAAGGATGAGATCCTGCAACACAGCTGTCGCTGGAAAACTCTTCTGAACCGAAGGACTACCGAAGAACTACCGAAGGACTACCGAAGGACTACCGAAGGCCCACCGAAGGCCCACCGAAGGCCTACGGCCACATGCAAGGCTTGCAGGCATGCCTTCCCCATCACCGAGATGGTCGCTTCTCTGACATCCATTCCTCAGATTGCCAATCTTTCTGCAGGGCCTACGCGTTGACGATAGTGTATTGTACACTCATGCAGCCGCCTGCAAAACGCTCCATCACTCTGCAGGCGTGCCTTCTCCGACTTCAGTGGCGTTGTCCGCGTATTCCGTGTAGTTGCCAGCTGGAGAACAGCACAAAGTCTTTTGGCCTGCTGCCTGTTGCCTGCTCCCTTAGCCTTCTCAAGACGTCTGGCACCGAGCCACCTCCTAGAGCACCCTTTTGAAACCGGCTAAGCATGCCGGCAGCACGCAGCTCGATGAAGCGCGCATAGCGCCCGGGCATGGCCAGCCTCACGTGCTCCTCGCCGAGTCTTCGTAGAGATATACTGATGCCGTGACTCATGTCAATGTGTTGCCCATAGAACGAAGTACCGCAAGAGCTGTCCCCGAACATGAGCCGAAAGTGGTCCGTGGGCAGCCTGAGCAATTGACAATGGATGAAATCGAGCGCTTCTGCAATTGCTCCCTGCAGTACTGGTTGCTACTTGCTGTCAACTTCACTTGCGAGTACGTACTTCGTTGTTCCTTTGGCACCAGCACCAGCATGCTTCGATTTCAACACATTCCAACATTACTTCTACCCTGTGTCGAACGCTTGCCCATGCTTGCCCTAAATGAATGGCCTCAATGGAACCAAGTCCCCTGCGCTGGGGGCACGCCCAATTCGATGGAGCCGGGCAGGATCATGAAGGGCCTCAGTGAAAAGCGAGAACCGTGTTGAGCAGTCATGCAGTCAATCTATTCCATGATAGACGGCAAAAAGCAGCGAGTGGATGGTGAGTCGTGCACTGGCCGTCTGTCAAGTACACGTCTTGCAGTCCTTATCTCTCCAGCATCGTCAAGCAAGACTTCGAGAGCAAAACTCTCGGATTCACGCACCTGCCACCAAGGCTCCAGGATATGATTGGTAAGCGAAAGGAATCGCTTCCTGAATCCGAGCAGGACGAGAGAAGACATGCAACACCCCTTGCTGGAAGCCTCAGTAAGAAGCACACTCAGCAAAAGATCCGAAGAGCCCCAAAGCCCCACATCCCTCAAACCCGGAAAACTCCCGAAGCTCCCCAGATCCCTGTGCCGCCTCGGTCCCCGGGAGCTGGCCACCAAGCCTTGGCGCAGATCTGAAGCACGCGGCTTTCCCTCAAGGTGAGACTGTGGAGGCGTCTAAGTCCTAAATGAGTCTCCCGGAAACGAAAATATCCATGGTCAGACGGTCAGAGGAAAGAAGGAATTTCAAAACATCTAAAATTTAGTTGGTGAAGACTCACGTTTTACCTGCTTACCTTTGTGGGCTAATTGCTTTGTCTAGGGTACTCGAAGAGTGTGTGTAGTCGCGGAAAAGCTCCACGGATTCAAGAGGTTGGTATGTTGACTGATGACTCAACTGAGGTAACTAAGGCTCGTGCACGTAGATGGTGTCATCGAGGGTCAACTCCTTTCTGCATGCTGCTGTGGGGATCAGGGCTGCGTGAGTAGCCCCCCTCCGCAACTGCAACCCCTGCCCAAGCTCAGCATCAATTCTGAGACGGTCGCTGCCCCAAAGTGTTTTCCAACCCCATGCCAGCTGAGGAGCTGAGACCTCGTGGCACCGGCTCTCATTTTTTCTTCGGGCTTGCGGCCTCCAAAGCCCAGGTTGCAAGCTCTGAGGCGGCGGCATATCCCACCCAGCAGCGTAGCTCATCGTCTTGCAATGCCAGTGCGCACCCCCATCTGGACTGAACCAAACCTGAGCTCGGCCACTTAACGCCATCATTCCAATTTTACTCTCTAACAGCCTACACCCTAAGGGTCTAAGTAAGGCCCCAGCATCGTTGAAGAAAGCCGTGCAGAAGAATTCTCCTGGGGCACAGAGGTGGCCTCGAGAAACTGCAGAGGTGTGCACATTCAGCTCTCTGCTGGCTTCTGCAAGTGGAGGAAGACGCCTCACTCGACACCTACCTCCCACGCCGCCACCTAGTCCGCCCAAATCTTAGGACTGTTACACACCACTCAGACACAGATAAGACCGGCAGGCTGACAAAGACGAAAGGAAGAAAGGGAAGAGAGGGAAGAAAGGGAAGAGAGGGAAGAGAGGGAAGAGAGGGAAGAGAGGGAAGAGAGGGAAGAGAGGGAAGGGAGGGAAGAGAGGGAAGAGAGGGAAGAGAGGGAAGAGAGGGAAGAGAGGGAAGAGAGGGAAGAGAGGGAAGAGAGGGAAGAGAGGGAAGAGAGGGAAGAGAGGGAAGCGAGGGAAGAGAGGGAAGAGAGGGAAGAGAGGGAAGAGAGGGAAGAGAGGGAAGAGAGGGAAGAGAGGGAAGAGAGGGAAGAGAGGGAAGAGAGGGAAGAGAGGGAAGAGAGGGAAGAGAGGGAAGAGAGGGAAGAGAGGGAAGAGAGGGAAGAGAGGGAAGAGAGGGAAGAGAGGGAAGAAGGGAAGCAAGGGAAGCAAGGGAAGACAGGGAAGACAGGGAAGACAGGGAAGAGAGGGAAGAGAGGGAAGAGAGGGAAGAGAGGGAAGAGAGGGAAGAGAGGGAAGAGAGGGAAGAGAGGGAAGAGAGGGAAGAGAGGGAAGAGAGGGAAGACAGGGAAGAGAGGGAAGAGAGGGAAGACAGGGAAGAGAGGGAAGAGAGGGAAGAGAGGGAAGAGAGGGAAGAGAGGGAAGAGAGGGAAGAGAGGGAAGAGAGGGAAGAGAGGGAAGAGAGGGAAGAGAGGGAAGAGAGGGAAGCAGAGGGAAGCAAGGGAAGCAAGGGAAGCAAGGGAAGAAGGGAAGAAAGGGAAGAAAGGGAAGACAGGGAAGAGAGGGAAGAGAGGGAAGAGAGGGAAGAGAGGGAAGAGAGGGAAGAGAGGGAAGAGAGGGAAGAGAGGGAAGAGAGGGAAGAGAGGGAAGAGAGGGAAGAGAGGGAAGAGAGGGAAGAGAGGGAAGAGAGGGAAGAGAGGGAAGAGAGGGAAGAGAGGGAAGAGAGGGAAGAGAGGGAAGAGAGGGAAGAGAGGGAAGAGAGGGAAGAGAGGGAAGAGAGGGAAGAGAGGGAAGAGAGGGAAGAGAGGGAAGAGAGGGAAGAGAGGGAAGAGAGGGAAGACAGGGAAGACAGGGAAGCAAGGGAAGCAAGGGAAGCAAGGGAAGCAAGGGAAGACAGGGAAGACAGGGAAGAAAGGGAAGACAGGGAAGAGAGGTAAGAGAGGGAAGAGAGGGAAGAGAGGGAAGAGAGGGAAGAGAGGGAAGAGAGGGAAGAGAGGGAAGAGAGGGAAGACAGGGAAGAGAGGGAAGAGAGGGAAGAGAGGGAAGAGAGGGAAGAGAGGGAAGAGAGGGAAGAGAGGGAAGAGAGGGAAGAGAGGGAAGAGAGGGAAGAGAGGGAAGAGAGGGAAGAGAGGGAAGAGAGGGAAGAGAGGGAAGAGAGGGAAGAGAGGGAAGAGAGGGAAGAGAGGGAAGCGAGGGAAGAGAGGGAAGAGAGGGAAGAGAGGGAAGAGAGGGAAGAGAGGGAAGAGAGGGAAGAGAGGGAAGAGAGGGAAGAGAGGGAAGAGAGGGAAGAGAGGGAAGAGAGGGAAGAGAGGGAAGAGAGGGAAGAGAGGGAAGAGAGGGAAGAGAGGGAAGACAGGGAAGAGAGGGAAGAGAGGGAAGACAGGGAAGAGAGGGAAGAGAGGGAAGAGAGGGAAGAGAGGGAAGAGAGGGAAGAGAGGGAAGAGAGGGAAGAGAGGGAAGAGAGGGAAGAGAGGGAAGAGAGGGAAGCAAGGGAAGCAAGGGAAGCAAGGGAAGACAGGGAAGACAGGGAAGACAGGGAAGAGAGGGAAGAGAGGGAAGAGAGGGAAGAGAGGGAAGAGAGGGAAGAGAGGGAAGAGAGGGAAGAGAGGGAAGAGAGGGAAGAGAGGGAAGAGAGGGAAGACAGGGAAGACAGGGAAGACAGGGAAGAAAGGGAAGAAAGGGAAGAAAGGGAAGAAAGGGAAGAAAGGGAAGAAAGGGAAGAAAGGGAAGAAAGGGAAGAAAGGGAAGAAAGGGAAGAAAGGGAAGAAAGGGAAGAAAGGGAAGAAAGGGAAGAAAGGGAAGAAAGGGAAGAAAGGGAAGAAAGGTAAGAAAGGGAAGAAAGGGAAGAAAGGGAAGAAAGGGAAGAAAGGGAAGAAAGGGAAGAAAGGGAAGAAAGGGAAGAAAGGGAAGAAAGGGAAGAAAGGGAAGAAAGGGAAGAAAGGGAAGAAAGGGAAGAAAGGGAAGAAAGGGAAGAAAGGGAAGAAGGGAAAGAAGGGAAAGAAGGGAAGAAGGGAAGAAGGGAAGAAGGGAAGAAGGGAACAAGGGAACAAGGGAACAAAGGAACAAAGGAACAAAGGAACAAAGAGAGCGACAGAGAGCGACAGAGAGCGACAGAGAGGAAGGCAGAAAGAGAGGAGAGAGAGGGTCAGAGAGTCTCAGAAGGCGCAGCCAGAGACGACCCGTATGGTGACAAAGCGAAGCCCGCTCATTGCCTCCAAGGATGAAGAGTCCGGCAGCGGACGTGGCCAGGAGCTTGGGAGAACGGCCTGGGCGTCAAGCTCGCCTTTTGCTGCGGGGGATTGCGGATCTCCCCAAACAATTGGGGGGCAGCCAGGTGCGCTTTGACCTTTTTTTGGGGTTGGGTGCAGAATGTGGATTTGAAGGTACCTACACCCGCCCAATCTGGGCTGAGTTTCGTGAGTTGCCGAGCAACATTAGTGAAATTAGGAATCCATCTTGATAGGCGTGTCGAGCCCATTCTCACTTATTTATGACAGTGCGGTGTGCTTTGTGGACTTCGGACATTGAAGAGGACCCCCGGTGACCCCCAGACACACTGCAATTCCGATTGGCAGAGTAGCCGTTTAGCCACCAACTCATCCTTGGCAACCTTGGGCTTTCAGACCCTAAACCCCTAAACCAGGGGGAGGGGCGATGGGAACGTCTAGTATTTGGGGAGGCGTGTTACAACCGGGTCACGAAGGCCGAAGCCCAGCGGAGCCGCGCGGCTCGGGTCGTCTGCCTCGGTTGAAAGGATGAAGGGACCCCTGCTCAGCTAAGAGTTCAGGGTTTAGGGGTTTAGGATGTTTTAGAGGTCTCACGCTTCTTGTCCCCCCCGTGCTTCAACAGGAAACTGGCCGCCTGGCCCCCTGCCAGCCCACCAAGCCCGCCGCGCGGCCGCCTCCAACCCTCTGCACCCTCTCGGCAGTTGACGTCACAAACCTCAGCAGGAGGTGGCTTGTGGGCCTTGCACGCCGCAATCCTGCGAGAGAAGGTGCGAGAGAAACTCTCCGGTGACGCCTCCAAATGGCTTCGCTGCTGCCTGGCGAAACATCCGCGATCACCAGCTGCCAGCCTGAACTACTCAGCCAATTTTTTGCAGGGAGACCTCCTCAAGTATAGAACGAAGCGTAGAGCGGTAGAGCGTGCATTCGAAGTCATTCGCAGCGCATCTGTCATGACTGAGCTGCGCACCCCCCAAAATGGCCATGGCATGGTCCTCAGAAGCCAAAATCAGAGTGCTCCCATCTTGGGGTCTTTTCTAGAATCCTCTCTTGAAGGGCTCTGAATGGCGCGGTCCTGACTTTTTTCAACAACCCCACAACCTCGTCATGGCTGATCCTACAGCTCGAGATGGCTTGCAGGCACTCAACATTCTGCAACAAGATGAAGAGGGAAGGTCGGAAATTCGTTGGCACCGAGGCGACCTTTAAGTCACTCCCCCCCTCACTGGCCCTTCAAACCCTCTCAAACCCTAAACCGCCTCAACCCGAAACCCGAAGCCCTTGCTGCCCAGGTGCATGGAAGGTTGCTGGGAAGCTAGGTGGCACCTCTTGACCTTGGGGGCTTTGGGCACTTCTGACCCCCAAAGTGTCAAGGAACCTGAAGGGGAGGATATGGGGGTCTTTGGGGGTATATGCCTTTGGCTCAGGCATCTCGGGCCTTCGAGCAGCTGCTTAGAGCAACCGCAGAGCTCAGAACCGATCTCAGTCATCTCAGAACCGATCTCAATCATCTCAGTCCCCAGCCGAAGGGAATCGCGGTGGGTCTGGAGACGTGCATCCAGGAGCGCCCGATGTCGCACCTTAGCCCACTCAGGGATTAGGAGAAGGCGGGGCAAGGAAGTGCTAAGGAGAGCATGACTTGCAACCAAGCTGAACCTACCTGCTGCACGGTCTGGGGCATGAGCGTTTTCCAGAGGGTACCTGATTCATCGTTGCACGTGCCACCCAGCAGCCATACACCTTGAGTGGGGGGGGGGGTTGTTTGGAGACTCAACTTCATCTCTATGCAGCTTTTTTCGAGCCAATTGGTCATTCGGCTGTCTCTGGGACTAAGCTCGAAGAGCTGAGCGCCGTGCAGCCCTCTTTGTCCACCACCGTGGGCGAGTATGCGATCTGGGCAGTCCCGGAAGCCCCAGTCTTACCGTCGCAGGCGGTCTTGGCTAGGACACGCCTCCCGGTCCCAGGGACTAAGCTGCCAGCCAGTGGGATTGTGCGGAAGAAATCCTGCCAGAACGAGCCCTATGGAAGATGGGCACCTTACACACGCACTGGAGTCTGAGGGAGGCGAGCCTGGGAGGTCACGCCTTCCACTTGTGTCCAGTCTTCACCGGTCTGGGAGACCTCGAAGATTGTGAGCTGGAGGACGCCTCTCTAACGCCTAAAGCTTGGAGCCTGAAAAAAGGCCTCTACAGGGCTAAAGCAGTTAAAGCACTGAGGCTGCCTCGGTTTCAAAAAGCCGCAACTCTGAGCCCCTCTGCAATTAGAAAAACCCGTCAGAAACTCCTTTAAACCTGAAACTCAAACCCTAAACACCGGAAGTTTCAAATCTTCCTCTGGAGCCGCGCCGCCCAGGTGTCTGCCAAGCAAAAGCCCCCGGTCTCGCCGCCACTGAGAAGGAAGGTGCCGTTAACATGGTGGAGCATGGCCTGTGACCATTCGTCGAGGCTTCAGGGTTTCAAGGGCTTGGCAGAGCTTGGACTCTGTTGCAGGCCACCCCCAAAGTCACCCCAAGGTCCCACATTCTGAGCTGAGCCACCCCAGCCCTCGGCGTAAAGCGCGGCTCGCGGAAGTTTGGGTAGCGCCTTCCACGATGCGTCACTGTGTCACTAAAAAAACCGCCGCCACAGCCACTCTAAGACCCCCCGGCATTCTTGGGCCCCAGCACATATGGAGCGACCAGGGAAAAGGCCGCAGGGGCCGAGTAAAAGACATACTCGCCCTCACTCAGCCTCCGCATCTCTGAATCTACGTGCACTTCACATTCCACCAGTTTCGTCCTCTGGCTACGCTTGACTTGCAACAATGCTTGACTTCCTCTTCCGCTCGAGGTCTATCAGGTTCGCAGCTGTGTCGCGACTTTCTTTTGCAGAATAGTGCAGGGCCTTGTGGCTTTGTCCAGGGGTCTTGGACGTTCTGTTTGCCTTGCGAAGCCCGAAAATCCGCCTGTTCTGTTCTGCTCTGTGAGGCCCGAAACGATCTTGGCGAAGGAATGCGAACCAACTGGTGACTCCCTCTTCCCATTGCGATTTGGTAGCGCGTAGCGAACGTAAACAGACCTTGGTCATGTAATTTAGAGGCACAACCTCGGGCTCTGACCCTTTGAAAGGGTTGCCGGCCTGAGCCAAAGAAAGCACTCAGCGAGACAGTTTCAAAAATTGCGCCACCGAAAACGGGTGTCCGGCAAGATCACGGAAGATTCCCTGGTCAAAGGTGACGGTCACTTCACGGTTCAGGCCTTGGATGTTGGACATCGAAGCACTAGGCTCGCCGGGGATCTTGTGCTGGGGGATAAACTACAGACGGTGCCTAAGGACCACTTCGTGAGTTTTGGACACTTTCATATTGGCGGCACAGTCCGATTGGCCCCAACTAGTCTGCACACGGAGATACATGCAACCCTAGATACATCACCTCGGAGACCTGAACCCAGGCCCCCAGGGATCCAACCAAAGTCCATTGCAGGGTTGATGACGACCACGGAGCCCTGCAGGAGCACCTTGTAAAGAGATTGGCGCCCCAAAGAGTTGTTACCTGAATACTGTCTCATCGTACCAGAAACTGCAAAAGACCGAAGAGTTGGGTCGAAAAGGTTTCAATCCGTCAGCTGAGCTCCAGGCATAGCCTGTCCCAGGTAGGTTGCTTGGAGCTGAGAGAGCAATGATCTCCTCCTGGCATTGCAGCGTGCCCCCCTACAAGGCTTCAACGCTTAAGCGCTCGCCTTGACGTACGACGCACGAAGATGCGAGGACGAACGTAAAGGCTCCTGCATGCCATCGCTGATGTTTATGCTGCCATTCACGTCGGCCTGTCAATCTCGCATCAGCAGAAAGGTACTTTTCTAAAGATGGAAGCACACCTTTGCAGGGAATGCTTGGAATGGCGCGCGAGACAGTGCTAGATAAGATGCGCGCACGTTCGCGCCTGCAGCTCTTCGTTGAAGAAGATCGTGATATTGCTATCGGTGGCTGCATGGCTCATATGAGCGGGCACCTGCAAGCATGTGGCCGCCATGGCGATGTCGTGTAGGGAAATGGCGGAGCCAGTGATTCCAGAGCACGCTGCCCAAGGACCTGCACCAAGATCTCTGGGAAGCGACTGTCATCTGGCTGGACCTTTCAGCAATGAGATATGGCACGTGTCGAACTGGCTGAAGCGGCTGAGGACTCTCAGAAGCCTAGAGCAAGCAAGCGGGGGGGCGAACCGCGCAAGACTCTTTTGGGCTTTCTTTTGTTGTAGGTGGGTGGGTGGGCGGGGGGGGGGGCAGGTTGGTTACGACCATGTTGCTCTAACCTACCCGTACCCAAAACTCTAGCCTATGCAGCATTTGTGCCTCCTTTTTCTCACATACTGCAATGGCAAAAAACTGTTTGACGTTTCTGGTCAAGACGCGCTGTCACAACACTGAAATGTTCAGCGTCGTTGCCCTTGATGAAGAACAAACTGCAGAAGAATGCTTGATGTTTCTGCAACCAGGCGCGCTGTCCCAAGTGTTCATGCCTTTTGTGAAAATGCCCAACACTCTGCTGGTTGCAGCATTTTTGCCTCTTTCCACGACAGACTAAACCTCCACCAACAACCATGTTCGACTTTATGCTCTGAACCTGAAGCCCTGGCCATGCGCGGCAAACGCGTCCAAAACTCGTTCCAATCAAGAATTTGTAACAATTTTGGGGTCCAAACATTGCGAAGCAAAACCTCGTTTCGCGTGGCAGGCGCGGTACTTTCGCCGTGCGCCTCTCTGAACCCTTGCACGGTGAACCCCCTCATAGGGGAGTTGTAAGGTGGTCACCCAGAACTCCAAGCCGGACGTCACTGGCAGCATGGGGTTGCCATCCTGCTCCCACAGACACCGGCACATTGCACGGATCTTCAAGCCCTCAGCGCTCCTCATCCCGCAGGACGCCCAGCACGTCGCTGCGCAAGGCGTGGAGCCGACCCGGGCGTAGGCCCTGCGACACCAGCAGGGCCTGCCTGGGATCTGGGACAAGCTGAGCCCGAGACATCTCCTCCCTTGGACTAATTTGTCGAAGACTCCATCTACCGCTGCACATGTCTAAAAGAGAGAGCTTCGCGGTTTAACGGCCTAACGCCCTAAACTCTTACACCCGCAACAGAAGCTTGGGCGTGCACATGCCATCTAGCAGGAGGTGCTCCGCAGCGACGCCTGATGAGACCTGCCATGAAAATGCATATGCGTCTTTGCCAGTATCTACTATAGTAGTTATCTGCCCAAAAATGGCCCCCTGGCACATGGAGGTGTCACAACTAGGACTTTCATTGCCATTGAAACCAAAATCCGCTCAACTTTGGTGAGCACACCTCGAGACCCATGACTTCATCGTCGGCCACGAGCTCGGACACGCCGTCGAAGCACCTCGCAGCGGAAGGGATATGCAAAAACGTCTGAAAACATCCCTAAAGCCAAAGCACTGGTGCGTCTGGGCATTTGCTCTCAGTCAGCCTGTGCTCGATGAGCTGATCCCGCAAAGCATGCCCGGTCGTCCTAGTAGCCCATATGAGATCCTTTTCTGAATGTGCCATCACACACCTACACACCCACGCCACGCAGTCTCAAACATTTGTGCCGTCAGAAACAAAAGGCCGGCAAAATGTCCTGGGTTAATGATCGTATCACGGTTTCAGGTATTACCTTCCGTTCTGGTCATGCTGCCTGCTTCTGATTCATTGGATGGCTCTGTAGCGCCAGCATTGCAAGATATTTCGAGCATGAGGCATGCAACCAGGGAGCCTCGCTCTCAATGACATCATGAAGAATTTCAACGTTGCTCAGGTTTCTACCAAGTATCAAGGTGCTTTGCAAGGCTCCCCGATTGCATAAAGCGGCCTCCTGTACAGATGGGTCGAGGGGGGTCATGGCAACGCTAGCGGGGCAATTTTTGGTAGCAAGGCTGTACTCACATGATGCTGGATGACCAGGCGGGCGCCCGCCATTTGTCTGTGTGTAGCCCCGCGAAGTACATGGCACACGCCCTTGAGAAACGCTTTCCCGATTTGGGAACCGTCTTGCATGAGATGGCCTGGAGGTACCAACGACCTTCAGGCACCATCACAGCAGAAGCGGAACAAACTTCAGCTAAAAGGACAGCACTTCAAGCTTACCGGGTCCCGGGGCTGCGGGTTTGAAATTCCATGTTGATGCCAGAAACATCCAGAAACATTTTTGCTGTTCCAGCTGATGGACTCAACCGCCCCCAACCAATGCCCCAAACAACCAAGAATAGCAGGGCTCAGGTTTAGTACACGCTGCAATAGCTGAACTCTGCTGTGCCAGAACATGCCAGCACGTACAGCTTGACCTATCCACGCCCTTCCGCAACATTCCCGAGAGCATGGCTGGGGATTGGCTAGCTCGGGGTATCATGACGGCTGATCCTTCAGCTGTGCTTGCCATCCGCCTGCTGAGAAAGCCACGGCATATAACTACCAACTCTATCTTTACAGTATGCACAAGAAGCATTTCAGCTACCTACCAGGCAGGTTCTGGATCCGCTGTGCGCGGTGGCGAACCCACTCTTCCGATTGAACATGATTGAAACAATTCTCGTTGGCTGGCCCAAGGCCGCTAAGGGGCTGAGAAAACTGCATAGTTCTGACACCCATGTTACGAATTGCGTGCGGCCTCCGGGCGCCTTAGTTCGGCTGAACAGCTGGACTGGGAAGCATTGGCTACACATCGACAAGGTGCTTTTGGGCCCTTTCTTGCTCGCTGTTACATGGGGGGCGGGGGGGGAAGAACCCTAAACCCTAAGCCCACGAGGAAACACAGGATACCACGAGAAGGCGACTGTTGCTCCCGGGGATGGCAGTACCGTCAAGCTGAGCGCTGTTCCACGCAGCTTCAAGGAGCCGGCTCCATGTCCAGCTCCTGCGGTCTTTATCTGGCCATGAACTGGCCAGGCGCACCAGGCTTGTACTTTCGGGAAAGGGAGGCGCAACTCAGCTCCAAGGGCCACGGCTTGCGCGCGCGCATATGGGCACTGTTCTTACCGTGGCCTCGCAGCGGTTCATCAGTGTCTCCCGGAGGCAGCATGGGCGGATCTCCGTCACATCCTCAGCGAGAGTGAGAGTGGAGAACCACTAGGAGACTTGTGCTGTGAGCGGATTTACTGTGGCGACTCCGGAAATACACAAATGCCCAGAAACATCCTGCCGCAAGTCGTTGCAGCTGACACCCAGTGCAGCCGCTGGCAGGTACCAATTACGCTGCCACTCCGTCACGCTCCGTGACACATCTCCACGCGTGCCCCGTAACTTCACCATACGTCACATCGAGGCTCAATGATGTGCTTGTGGATCCGCCAGGCAAGTTGCTCGGAATCCTTGGGGGGCTAGAAAGTGGAGCTACGGTGCTACTGCAATCCATTCAAGGAACTGAGTCAGATGCATGTTTACGCCAAGGATCGCTTAAATTTGCCTGCTTCCTCATCTCATATAAGGATATGGCAGAAATTGTGAAGCTCCTGGAGCCTCGCCAGATGCGCTTTGCTGACAAGGGTCAACAGACGAGAAGTTGTGACACCAATCGGACTGACACCAGAGGTAAGGCAGAAGATCAAAACTCTCTGGCGGTCTTCACCCCTGACTCCAGAAGGCGACGCGGATCATTCAATCGTCACTTTCCGGCCCCACAATAAGACAAGACTGTGGGCACCAACTATTGAAAGAAAGAACATCTGGATAAACATAGACGCTTCAGAACAATCAGCGAGAGCTTTGTTACTGTAGTCTCTTAGACGGCTGCACTTTCTGCTGAAATCGCTCGGCCGCCTGCCTAATCGAAGTTGCCCCCGGCATGTCCAGTGCACTCGGAGGTCAAAGCCATACCTGGGAGCTGAAAGGTTCTCAATTGCTTTGGCCCGCGAGTTTGATGGGAACTCGTCGTGAGTTCTTGTACGTGTGCGCAGCTGGCGTGCATACTTGGGCGACTGCAAACACATACCGTCTGAACCACCGGCCACATTACGACATGAATCTATTTCAAATCCTGGATAGCAGAGGAAACCTGGCTGCGATTGTCACGTGCGACGTGCAACCAAGCTACGGTCGTCCATCGCAGACCTGGCACTCAACCTGGGGCGATCACGTGAAGCTGGGCCTTGCTCTTTACTACCCGCTACTAGCCCTTGTCTCAGAACTGCCATCTCATTCCGATTCGGCTGCAGGAATTTCGGAGAGAGAAGTGCAACACTCCCGAGATTTCGCCCCCTCACCCATGTAGAACTGTTCCCTAAACCAGTACTGCAGCACATGACAACAGCACTCGACCATCGTTTAGTTCTTGCCCCGCTTCTCCACTGTTGCCCAAGCTTCGTGATCTTATTTCCTCTTCTTCGTCTTCTCACACTCTCTCAATCTATCACTCTCTCACTCTCTCACTCTCTCGCTCTCCCACTCTCACGACCAGGCAAATGACCTCCTTCTACAATGTCGCCAAGCAGCCTGTCCGTGGTGAATTAAGCTCTTGCTGACCGCACGGATCGCTGTGAGAAATGCTTCCTGAAGGTCACGGCCCATTGCTCTAGCAGTCTAGCAGCCTCACGGAGCATCACGGAGTCGTGACTTAGGACTATTTGAGAGTAAATAAGCACGAACCTGCTAGTGTCTCTGCACTCCAGGTCGGCATCCGAACCTTGACCCTGATAGCACCTCCATTCCCAGCATCCCCCAACCACAGACAAGTTCACAGCGCACTCCACCCATGTTCACGACACATCGGCCGAAGAATGGCAAAATCTGCCAAGAGATTGCGGGACCCAAAACATCTGCTACATCCCATCATACACCGAACACTGCTTGCACAACAGGGCTCATAGGTCGACCGGCATCCGGCCAGCTGCTTCGGCTGGTCCCACGGTTTCCGCAGTTGGAGAATCAGGGCCCTGAGAACATGTTCATCGAAAGTTGCCTCTGCTGAGACAATCACTAAGTCACTAAGGGCAGCTTCATGGTGCCCAGTGCCACCGGGCAGCTCATCGTAGATGCTGAAGTCTGGAGCTCTAGCAAAGAAATCCTGAAATGGTGAGAGGTCATCGGTCGATGTTCTAACCCAACCAATCCAGACAGACATCCTGAAGGACAAGCGATGCACGAGATCTTGAAGGGGTCAATGTTTTCAGGGGCGGTGTTGAAGGGCGTCGGGTAATGGAGTGGGCTGGCATGGGGGGGGGGGGGGGGGGGGGGGGTGGGGGGAGACAATTCATCTGCATTTGCTTTCCAAGGCTCGGGATAGTCACTCCTGCATTGGGGAACTCGTTTGTGCGCGCGTGGATGCACGGAAGCTCTGAGATTTATACAGCGGGTGCGGAGTGTTCCGAGAATGAAGACTGAGTCAGGTGGCAACTTGGCAAGACCCCGCCTGAGCACGTCTGTGATCTTCCCAAGGCTCAGACAGTACTCGTCCGGAGGCTTGGGCTTCGGCTCGAAGGGCGACTTGGTACGAAAGACAACCCGCTTTGGCTTGATCCCCGCAGCTTATGCCCGCTGGTCGAATTGGTCTAGTCTCCCACACTACAAGTGCACTACAAGTCCACTCTCAGAACGAGGTCGTTGAGGCACCCCCACATTCCAAACGCTTTTCAGGCCCCCGCCCCCACTTTAATGCAAAAAAACTAAATTGCATAGGTGTCAAGCGAGGACTCTGCGCCCGGGCACCGGTTCCCAGCCCGACAAGGGCGCGCCGAAGCCGTGCAACGACGGCGCGGCAAAGCTGGCACAGCAAGGGGGTACCGGGGTAGGGCATTTGTGTGGGAGGGTGTGCAGGCAAACTAAGACGGTGTTGAGGTTTGAATGCTCAGTTCGGAAAAGTACCTGGAGGCTGGACTGGAGGCCGTGCGGCAATTCACCGCTCTGAGACTTCTGACAGCCGCACTATGTCCAGAACGACTCCACCATGCTGGTGGCTTCTCCTTGGCCCCCTTAAAACCAGAGCCCCCGCCAAGCCTCAAGCCCCCGTGGCTAGCGCACCTCCAAAGTGGCGGCTGCAGATTTGCGACGGCCTGAACCATGCAAGATACACTGCCGCCAGGTCAATATGCCACATGTGTAGTCGCGGCTTGGACTAATCATCAGCACGCACACGAATATCCGCGGAGACGTGTTGGGTCTGTAGTGTGCTCATTGTTTGAAAACAACAATTGTGTGAGTCGCGAGTGCGATGGATCATGCCTACAGTCAATCATACCGAAGTTGAGCAGGTTGCGCAGACGCGCTCTCAGGGCGCGGCGCTTTGCGCCGGAACTGCCGATCGGTTTGACCACCTGTACATACACTACGGCCACATGCACTGGGACATATACAGCCCGCGGGCATAGCCAGGAGAGAGCATGCCTGCTGCGGCACATCCCAGGCCCTGGCACCACAATGCACAGGACAAGGAACTCAAACACGCAAAAAGGGTGCAGGCTGAGTGTACCGGGCCGGCCTTTGCCTGGCCGCCACAAACACGCCAACTCCTGCACGTGTCGAGGAACCGTGCAGCGGCTTCGCAAAGCATGGCCACGCAATGGAAACACTCCGGCCCC